TTTGAATAAAACTCTGTGATTAGTAAATCTGTTAGAAACAAACACAAAAATACCTTTTGCGGTAAATTGAAAGTGGAAAATTGAAATTTTGTAATTAATGGAATTTTAAAAAGAAATATTAAAGGCATAATAGCTAGTCTTAAGAATAATTTGCATGCATGTCCTGGGTAGGCATTCTCACTGCCTCTGGAAGAACATTTTTGTCTAATTTTTTAAGACGATGATATTAGATTTTAAATATACCCAGAGGTGTGCTATTAAATGCTTAACAACCAGCTCTCCAAAAACGTATGCACCTTTATATTGTATATAAGTTTATTATACATTTTAACAATATAAAAGATATGATTTATTATACATTTTAATAATATTAAAGATGCATTGTGCAGCACACAATTCCCAAATATACAATACTCTTCACTGTAAATTCCATATAGCCGACTGATTCTCACAGGATGCTCTCACTAATCTTTGCTGAACTGGATTCATAACCAACTATGGTTGCAGTTCAACCATGACTTCACAAAATCAGATTACAAATAATGCTTGATTACTGTCTGGTTCAGCAAAGAAATCACTCATCACTGATGAACAAGTATAGTTTCACCATGAATGTTAGTTGGTATTTTTGGTTATGTGACTGGATAAGATGAAAATGGAACAAGATTTATGTCAGAACTTCACTCATTTGTCAATGATGTGAGTGACTTCTTTGACAAATCAGAAATTAGTTTTTGAATCCTGGAAGAAAATATCCACAATTTTTTTTCATGCTATTCACAAGGCAAAGGCTACAGGTAAGACATATTTTTAAGTTTAATCCGAATTATTAACGTTTTCTCCATAAAATTTTACGTCTAGACAATTGACAAAACAATCAACAAAACAATGTATCAATCCCTAATTTGCAGAATTTTCTGACTGTGGTCCAACATGGCCGATTTTAAGCTACCAACATGACGTCACTGAATGTGGAGCTGGGAAGATGCAGAGCTGCACACCATCATATACTATTTCCGCCATAAAGATACAATGGACACAAATAATCTTAAGAGCATGGATAAGGGAAAAATGTAGTAAAATCATTAGGAAGTGATGAATTTTGAGTTTTTACTGCTCTTTAATATAAGTTATTTAATTTTAAGCTTATATAATCTAATATTTTAAAATAGACATGTTTAACAACTGGCTCACAAAATTCCTCAAAACTGAAAATTGGCTTTTGAGAGCTGGTACAAATTGGCTCTAGCACACCAAATTCACTTTTATTCCCCCCAAACTTTCCAAACTACTATTTAAAAAATATGATTTACTCTGAAGAAAACAGGAAGTGGTTAGCACTTACCAAGGAAACCAGGCAGTGGAGGCAATGTAGTTAACTTAATGAGCCAGAACAGTGTATCTCCAAGAAAGGCAAAAAACAATAGGATTATGATTCCAGATGGGTTTACTCCAGGAAGAACTGTACCGATCATAACTGACCAAACTACAGCCCACAGAAGAAAATCCTTGGTAGCTGAAATAAACCAGGGAAAATAGTTTCTATCAATAAATTGTCATATGCAGCGTTTAATATCATTTACAAATTGTTTTCTGAAATAAATATTGAGTAGTAAGTAATGAACACATTAGTAGCTAAAGAAACTACTAATATTTAGAAAATGGTATATTAAAACATTCTTCTTTCTTTCAAGAAATAATTCTTTCAATCTCATGATATGGATCCTACTATATTGCATTTTATTCTTTTTTTTAGGCGAAAGTTTACAGAGCAAATTAGTTTCTCGTTAAACAGATAGTATGCAAATTGTTTTGTGACATTGGCTGCCAACCCCATGATATGTCCCCTTCTCAACCCCAGGTTACCTGTTTCCATTCACCCAGTTTTCCTGCCCCTTCCTGCCTTCTCACCTTTGATTTTGGGCCGGTGTGCCCATTAGTCTCGTATACATGATTGACTATAACGAATTTTAATTTGCTGAATTTAGATGTTTGCCTTCAAGTCTTAGAATAACACCTATATTTCCTGTTATTCTCAACTATATATTTTGACATTCTAATTAGACTATAAATTCTTTACACGCATGAACTGGCTTCAATTTTTCTTGTTTTCTTCCAATGCCTAGTTTAGTGCTCTTCAGCCAAAATGGTCTTAATAATGCTGTTCACTAACTCTAAGATTTACATATATATGTATGTTTATATGACACATTTTAATAATAGAAAAGATATCTTGGCAGCACATCAAATATATAAAATAATAGAGGATTATGTTGTTATCAGAAAACAAAATTTATGAAAACATTTCTGATATTATAAAAAAATAAAAACCATAAAAAAAGTAGAAAAGTAGAAGGAAAAAAAGTTATAGCCCACATCCCAGAGGCAAAAATGATTTGTTCCTCTACTTTTACCTATAAATTAATTTTCCATAAATTACATACTTATATACATGCATACCAAAAAAACCCCCACAGTTGCTGTCAAGTTGATTGCAACTCGTAACAACCCTATAGGACAGAGTAGAAGTGCCCCTTAGGTTTTCCAAGGAGAGGCTGGCGGATTTGAACTGCCGACCTTTTGTTTAGCAGCCATAGCTCTTAGCCACTGCGTCACCAGGGCTCCATATACATGTATAGGGCTTGCTAAAGGTAAGTTGTGAAGAGCTCTTTGTAAAGTGTGAAGCACTGTGTAAGTCTAAATACACAGAAAATGCATACTTATAAGGTTACTCTAAATTGTTTTTAATTCAGTTAATAATTAACTTCTCATTTATAATTTTGGAAAATCATATTTTCACATGTTAGATTAGTTCATAAGCAGAATACTAAGTGTATACTGAAGGGGCCCAGGGAGGGGAGTATAGGACAAGAGCAGTGCTGTAAGTCTGAGAAACAGAAGGACAGGAAAACAAGTGAAGAGGTATTTATATACACCCAGCCTCATTTTTCAGGCAGCCCTATGGTCAATGATTATAGAATTTTTATAAATATCTGAGTCTCCAAATCATATCATTCATTTTCATCTTTTCCTTATGTCAATCTGTATCTATTTTATTGTAATTGTTTTAACTAAAAACATGGTATAATTTGAACGGTAACGGTTAAATAATAAAAAGGACAGAAAAGGTAATAAATTACCTGTTGCCTTATTAGCTAGTGTATATTTTGGAACCCGTATATCAGTTTATTTTGTTCCAAATAAACTTTAGATTTTTGTCCCCATGCTTTTAGAACCTTACCTAATTTCACTGAAAACACATCTAGAACCCAAAATATATCGTATCATACTTGGCTTTCCCATAGTCCAGATGAGAATGGTAAAACTGTCTTTCATCACTAGTCTGACAGAGACTGGAGAAACCCCGAGAGTATGGCCCACGGACACCCTTTTAACTCAGTACTGAAGTCACTCCTGAGGTTCACCCTTCAGCCAAAGGTTAGACAGGCCCATAAAACAAAACGAGACTAAATGGGCACACCAGCCTAGGGGCAAGGACTAGAAGGCAGGAGGGGACAGGAAAGGTGATAACAGGGAATCCAAGGTTGAGAAGGGAGAGTGTTGACATGTCGTGGGGTTGGCAACCAATGTCCCAAAACAATACACATATTTAATTGTTTAAATTAAATTAATTTGCTCTGTAAACCTTCATCTACAGTACAATAAATAAATAAAAATGTCTTTCATAACTCAAGTATAACTGTAAAGAAGTGAGTTTGATTTTGCAGTAATCATAACTTCTAGATTAAATGCATTACATTCTTCAATATATTTATCTTGGGAGATCACATATTTACTCCAATGATGCTGTCATTCCTCAAAATAATTTTGAAGTTGTCTTTAAATTTTACAACTCTTCTTCTTTACTATACTACACATCCCTCAACACATACATACATATACATACTTCTTTTTGAACAACAAAAAAAATGGCATTACTGAGTATGAACAACATTTTATTCATCAAATCGATATCAGAATAACCTTTGGATGCTTCCAAAGACCAACTCCAACCCTAACAATATCCAAAATACTGCTGAGATAAATTCCCAAAAAAATCCCAGAAATGTTTTAGTCATGACACCTCTATTGCACTGAGCTGAATTGCAAACCAGGATCCTTGCTTATAAAATGAAAGGTTCCATTTAGAGTATAAATTGAGATGTGCTTGCTCAAATATTAGTTGTATTACTTAACAGTAATAACAACCAACATTTATGTAGTGCTTGTCTGTTTACAAATGATTTCACAAACATTTTTCTTATTGGAACCCTGATGTAATTCTTTGAAATGCTTACTCAGATGAGGAAAAGGAAAACACCGTAATTTCTGCTCTTTTCCCCTTGCTAATGGCTGGAATGGTGGCGACTGCAGAGATCTTGGAAGCCCCATGTTGAAGATGGTGGAGCCTTGACAGCATGAGTCCCTGAATGACCACGTGGAACAAAGCCACCTAGCAGTGTGAACTGTTCACCTAGTACTTGTCACGTGAGAGAGAAGTAAACTACTTTTTCTCTTTTAAATTTTATTATTTTGGGATCTCTTATTATAACAACTTCATCTTTTACTCTCATGTTCTTAATTCACCCTGATTGCTTACATACCAAATTTTATTTTGCTAACCAGTGATCCACGTGGACGGCGAGCAAATCTTTGTCTCAGTCTCTGCACATGACTTGATTCAGTTGGTGTTTCTTGCGGCCTTTTTTCACTGCTGCTTAGTAGGTTACTTTCTTCTGTTGGTTCACTTCCATCTGCACTCCTGAGGTTCATAACAGGCTCCTCCTGTTTCTAAAGGAGCAAAATATGTCCTTAAAATTGTATTTATTTGCTATACATTTTTATAGGTTCTGAGTCATCATATCACAAATCATATTTCCATTACTAGAATCAAGGCTAACACTTTACAGGAAAATGCATAGCTTTATTACTAGCTAATCGTCTGATGCTTAGAACAAGAACTAAGTTATATTTAGCATTGAGTCACTATTTGTGGTGTAAATGCTTGACTCGCATCAAATTTCATTATGCTGGGTTTAAAATAGGAGCCCTGGTGGGGCAGGGGTTAAAGCACTGGGCTGCTAACCAAAAGGTCAGCAGTTTAAACCCACTAGCTGCTTCCTGGGAGAAAGATGTGGCAGTCTGCTTCCCTAACTAAGGATTACAGACTGGGAAACCCTATGGGGCAGCTCTACTCTGTCCTATAGGGTCACTAAGAGTTGGAATCAACTCCACCGCAGTGGGTTTTTCCGGTTTTGTTCGGGGTTGGGTTTTAACGATCAGTATATTTAAGATAAGATACAGGGCAACAGACAGCAAATATACCAAAGTTGTTCAGGAAAAGATAACTATCTGTGGTTAAAAAAAAAAAAAAAATCAATTCACATTCATTCATCTACTTGAATTTAAGAAATAGAAGAGAAAGGGAAGAATCCAAAATTATTCTAGGGTTTAGTTTGGGAACAGAAAGATTTTCACAGGCCCTCATTTTTCCAGTCTCATGTAAGGGCCAGTTGCTAATGGCTTTAGCTGGGAAACTACTGGTCACACCTGACCTGGCCTGTATAAGCCTGGGGATAAAGAATGGGAGAATTGTTAGTGGAGTGGTAGGGAATTAAGAGAACACAATTCAATAATAGACTGAAGACAATCCCTTCCTTAAAGAACCAGCTGGGATGTTCATCACTTAATGAGATTTATGAGGCTGTGTGACTCACCTCTGTGGAAGGTTCGGAATCTGCACGTTCAATTGTTTTATCTTCATCTGTCATGATTTATAATTTAAAAAAAAGATGACAGAGGGAAGAGGAACAAGATCTATCTTGAAAGAAAAACAGTAAAAATTAGCAATCTGAAAATCTTTCTAACTAAATGAATAATTTGTATGTATTTTTCCCTTAGAACTCTGAACAGCTAAAATATTTTAGACTATTTTAACTTCCAACTGCTAATTGTTTCTGTGATTCCAATATATTATCCTCATTCTTATCTATGTTTTCACCTCTCTTGAACAAGTCCTTGCTGACTAATCATATTTTTATATGATTTCTCCCCTACCGTATATATTTTTTATGAACAAAGTTAAATTTTTACTGTAAACATTTTACTGAGAGAATAATTAACACAAGATTTTCAAACATAAAGAGAGGATAAAATTTCTGACAGGAGTAGAATGGAAATACAAGTTCATGGAGGAAAAGGAACATGTAAAATTCCCAACTGTTAAAGAAGGACTTGTTCCCCAATTTTTTAAATGGATCGAGTGGATTCCGACTCAAGCGACCCTATAGGACAGAGCTAAAATGTCCCACAGGGTTTCCAAGGCTGTAAATCTTTACAGAAGCAGACTGCTAAATCTTTTTCCCATGGAGTGGCTGGTAGGTTCAAGCAGCTGACCTTTTGGTTCATAGCTGAGCGATTTAACCACTGCACCACCAGAGCTCAAACAGATAATGGAGGATATCCAATTACTATGGTATTTAGATTCCACTGGACTTTTGGAAATGCTAGTGGCATAGTGGTTAAGAGCTATGTCAGCTAACCAAAAGGTCAGCAGTTCAAATCCACCAGGCGCTCCTTGGAAACCCTATGGGGCAGTTCTACTCTGTCCTATGGTGTCACTATGAGTCAGAATCGACTCGACAGCAACGGTTTTTCTTTTTTTGGTTTGGACATTTAAAAGAGTGATGTAACTTTCTTTCTTTCTTTTTTGGCTTTAACAGACAGAACTTTATTTTCTCACAGTTAAGGAGACTAGAAGTCCAAATTCAGGGCATCAGCTCTAGGGGAAGGCTTTCTCTCTCCTTTGGTTCTGGGGGAAGGTTCTTGCTTCCTTTCAATATCTGTGGGCCCAGCGTTCCACAGAGATCTCTGTGTGTCTTAGCATCAACCTTCCCCTGGATGGAGGAGGCTCTCAGTGCAGCAACCCCGGTTCCAAAGGATGTGGCCCGCTCCTGGGTCTTCTTTCTTTCCCGCCCCATATTCTGAATTATAACTTCAAAACATTGCAAGCAATAAACCCAACCAAAACCGTTGCCATCAGATTAAAAAAAAAAGCTCCAGGTAATTTTCCAACATGAGGAATGAGTCACCAAAGGCAAACCGACAGATTACATCACTTTCAGAGAAACCACAGTCACTAGTTCTTGCCAGGTTCTTATTTCTAAATTAATTTTTTTAAAACGACAAAATATTGAGTAGCTACAATATCTTAGACACTGTGCTAAGTGCTATGGTAGTCACTTGCCATAGTGACACATTCTTTCTACTCATTTTACAATATATCAGGAAAGATAAACAAAATAACCAGAAAATCTGTAAGGTAGACCTATAGGTTGACTCAATCAATACCCACTTCAACATCTATAGAGGCTGAAAACCCAAATATTCCAATTCCTAACCACATTTGCAGCTAGAGGTGCCCATGTATCATAGTTCTGTCTAGTGAGATACAAGTGGGAGTCACTGGGGAGGGCTTCCATTCCCAAGCATAAGGCAAAGCCTTCTGAGGATCATACTTTTTACCCTTTGCCCTCTAACACTCTACCTTCTCCTGCCTAGAATGGAGATACAATGCTTGGAGGTGCAGCAGCCATCTTTCAACCATGAGAATAAAAGCCCTAGACTAAGATAGTAGATAAATAAGACAGGAGGTTTCTTGACACCCTTGAGTTGCTTCATCAGTCTTGGACTACAGTTACTTTAAAGTACTTGCTTAAACCACTAGTTTATTTTACAAGTAACTAAATTATTCCCAAAACAACAGTGCAATGAGTATTATGACAGAGGTGCAAACTACAATCTTTGGTAGAACCAAAGAGAAAATTAGGTTAGAGAAAGGAAAATCTAATTCAACACACATTTGACTGTCTGATATGTGCCAGGTACTATGCTAGGCTCTAGACACAAGGATTCATAAGATAAAATCCTTGCCTCAAGAATTATTTTCTCAGTTTAACAAAGTGCTGAGACGCTTGCATTTAAAATTTCAAAGGAAATTATATCATTTCTATTACCACCACCCTTTTTCTTTCCTATAAAACAAAATGTTAACCAGAGAGACATCTCAAAAAGGCTTCATTTCTTTATTAATTACATATATCACATATGTGTATAGCTAAAAAATACCAAACCTGTGGCCGACGAGTTAATTCTGACTCATAGCAACCCTCTAGGACAGAGTAGAACTGCCTCATAGTGTTTCCAAGGAGTGGCTGGTGGATTCGAACTGCCGACCTTTTGTTTAGCAGCCAAGCTCTTAACCACTACATCATCAGAGCTCCCATATATATCATATACATATATAGGATGTTGTTGTTAGGTGCCGCCAAGTCGGTTCCGACTCACAGCGACCCTATGTACACCAGAACAAGACACTGCCCAGTCCTGTGCATCCTCACGATTGTTATGCTCGAGCCCACCATTGCAGCCACTGTGTCAATCCATCTCGCTGAGGGTCTACCTCTTTTTCACTGACCCTCTACTTTACCAAGCATGATGTCCTTCTCCAGAGACTTGTCCCTCCTGGTAACACTTCCAAAGTATGTGAGACGAAGTCTCGCCATCCTCCCTTCTAAGGAGGATTTCAGCTGCACTTCTTCGAAGACAGATTTGTTCATTCTTCATGGTATATTTAATACCATGGTATATTCAATATTCTTCTCCAATACCATATATATATATTTTTTAACAATGAGACATAGACAGCTTTAATAATCTGTTAAAAAGTTGCACTCTGGCAGAATGACATTCCCCATCTCAGCAGAAAGCAAACAATGTATCTGAAAAGCCCCTTCCCAAGTTTCAGACCTGTGTAACCCTGAGCTTACATCTCATGCTCTCAGGAGCTGGGCCCTTGCTGTGTGGCAGAGGGTCTCTCCATGGTTCTATCACCCTCCTCGCAGTGATATTCTCTAACTGGCTGTGACCCTTCATATAGCAGTCAGGAGGCTGGAAACACCAACAGGGCTGCCCTCACAGATTGGTCTCTTCTCTCCTACTACAAAAGGGAGTTCAAGAGATTAAGAATCCTTCTAAGAAATGAGTTCAATATAAATTTAAGTTAGTTTCTATTTATTAAACATGATATTGTGTTAATGTCTGTTCCTCTCCCCCACCCATTTTCTCACCACTTACATATTTAGGCCTTTTCGGGGACTGAGGGATAGAGAAAAAGTTCTCTCTCCATCACAGACATGGGAGGCATTTCTTGTGGATGCTTAGTGTGGTTAATGGCATCCAACATGCAGCAACAGCCATTTTGTTCCTGCAGAGCAAGACCTGGCATTTTGTTTTCCACCTTTCTATGCTAAGAGAGTCCAGTAATTAAGCCACACTCACTACCTGCGAAAAACTCCACGTTGTATCAGAATCTTATTGTTCACAGACTTCAAGCAGAATATATCCTTCCTTTTATTTATAGAATAAATAATATTTGAAGTTCATTTGGACAGAAAGAGGTGACTGGTCACCTTGCCCACCTCTCTATGTAATAGGCATCTTCTTATTGATCACAAACAATCAGAGGTCCAAATGGTAATTATGACCTTCCACATTCCTCAGAATTTATCTCTCCTGAAGTCACTTTGCAAATCTTATTGACCAATTTGGAACCAAAAGAGAACGCAGTGGCCTACACAACATAGAAATCTGTTCTGCACATTTCCCCTAAAAACATCACTGAAAATGCAAAAAAAAAAAAAGTCCCTTTTTTGTTTTTGCAGAAGCTCTACAAGAAAGCATGTCTAAAATTACAGAACTATGCACACACAAACACAGACACACGAGCTCACACACACAAGGAGTTGGGATCAAAGAATCTTATCAGAACACAGGAAAAAGCTGGCGAGGGAAGACAGATATAGAGATTTGACCTGCTAAGGATGTTGGAATGTTACAGCAATGGCATGGAAGTAGTTCTTGGTACATACAAAAAAGGGGGCGGGCGGGCAGAAAGAATGAAAAATTCAGGCTACTAGAGAGAGAAATTCAGTGGCCATGCATGAGTTAAAGATGGTAGATGCCAGTTTTCTGGATGAAATGTTATATTATGGAGTGATCAGATGGATTTGCATGGTCCAAGGAAGGGGCATCTGCTTAGCAGGACACATCCATGGTCTCCTGCTTGTCCGGGTCCTCAGAGGACTCAGGGACACCGTGAGCTCCATCTGACTGACTGATGATGAGAGTCTGGCTGTAGGGACTTTGTCCAGAGCTCAGGCTACTCAAGGTCGAGTGGGTTCGTGACCAGGCAAGTTGGGTCATCCTGGCAGATGATATGTAGCCCATTCCCTGTAAAAAGTACTTGAAGGCCTCGGTGAGCTTCCCAGGCTGAACACCCTGGGGCAATCCCCCATAGTCTGCCATCTTTAGCAAAGTTGTATTTATAGGATCCAGGGGAGAATTGCATTCAACCGCAGCCTCCACTACAGGTGAACTGTCTTTCCCTACCACCAATAACGTAGAAGACTTTAATGTTTTTGTGTTACCATTTTGACCCAGGAAGGTCTTTCAATCTCTAGGTCTCTGTGTCCATGACAGGAACTCAGGAAGAGCTGTAGGTTTTCCTGGTTGATATCTCGGGCAATATGCAGTCTGTAGGTTTGAATTAGGTCCATGTTGGCATGTAACTCTTCCTGCCCAAAGTGATGAGCCAAAGTAATGTCCACAACATTGGTTGTCAGGCATGAAAGTTTAGAAGCTGCCTAGTCAGTCCAGCCTTTAGCACAGGGGTCAACATTAATGAGAACAAGGCCTTCCGCAAGCTCTGGAT